TTTTTTTTTTTTTTTGAGGACAAAGCAGAATAAAACGAAGGGAAAAAACACTGATTTTCATACGTCATTATTTACTAAAAACACCATCGACTACGAATGAAAATGATTTGTCTAGACTTTACCACTAGATGGCAGTATTGCATTATTAATTAAAATCGTCCTGCTCTCTGCACTATTTTGTAGCTATTTGGCTTGCCATGATGATATGTACTGTGATTTTGGAAAATTTTTAACAATACACTTATTATTTTAATTTAATATATTTTTTACTGATTTCATATGACATTGTTTGTAAAGAACACCACTTGAACACTAAAGAACACTGTGAAGAACACTAAAGGGCTCAAAATGTATTTTTTTCTCAGGTAGTCATTGCCTATTCATGATATAGATTTAATTGTATAGGCGTATGGGGGGCGTGGCTTAGACCGAGAGACGAGCGATTGGCTGAGATGAGCCTCAGCTGTTGTACGTCATGACAGCCAGCAGAAGCTCAGTAGTGGAGCTCAAAGACACTCGCGTCTATTTAATCGGCCCGCCGGCTCGTCATCGCTTATTCTTAACCTCATGCGTTGAAATGGTGATCTTATCTGAGGAACTACAACCAAACGGCTCGCTCTGCCTCCTCTCCGGCTGATTATTAGTCGCCATTGCGCAGTCAATGTTATTAAGAGTGTTAGCGCTCGCGTTAGTGCGCGTCGCTGCAGATCATTTCTCTCTCAGGAGACCACTAGAGGTGGACTCTCCGTCAGTCTGTTTACACTGAGGACGCCTTAAATCGAGCCTTTATCTCCATAACCGACCCACAGAAGGACACTGACACCATGTTTGAAACCAGAGGAATCCCCTTTATATTGCTTGACATTGCGTGCCTAATACTCGGTAAGCATTATTTTAAGTAGTCTTGCTTGTATTTCCTGAATTGATATGGATATATTGTCTCGAGTCTTATAGCGAAGTGAGAATAATTTAAAACGTTGGCGCTAATATGTGTTGTACAGATAAGATAAATAATGTAAGATATTAATATATAAATATACTTAAGACGTGTCAGTTGTTTTAGATGCATGTTGCCATGCACGTTATTTAAATGCATGGGATTCAACATTGCAACAATGGGACTGACATATTAACCACATACGACACCCATAGTGTGCGTCATAGTGCGTACTGAGTCTACATGCCTTCATCTACATGCCTTATCAAAGTTTCCGTAATAACAGGGCGTTACCTATTATGCAGAGAGTCTATTATGCATAACAATGACTCAGGGTATAAGGGAATACACGTGAAACATCACTGAAAATCATTAAAAAATCCCACGAGAAACCCCACAGCTTTTTTTTTTTTTTAAACAGCAGCCCATGAATTTTACTCTAATTAATTAATATATATATATATATATATAAGTAGGTGGGGCTACTTGTTACAATTTTTAACCCAGTAAATATTTTATTTAATAATTATAATGTCCGTTTCTGTATAACAACATACATTAATGTCTTAGCTTACAAAATTGTTGTCTATTAGAAAGATTTATTGAACACACCTGCTGTGACAACATGCCCCAACAGCAGATCTTGTTGTCACACTATATGGGGTATGTTGTCACAATGCAACCTGTCAGACTGAAAAAAGATAAAAGGTAACATTTAAAATGATCATATAATTGTTTTAACTAACAAATATTATAGTCAGTTGTATGAATTTCCGGCATACATATGACAACTTTCTTGGGGCATTTCTTGGGGCCCAATGTGAAAACTAGCCCCACTCTCCATTATAATGCATAATAATGTGATTTATTTCTATGAAGTTATTATTATTATTATTTCAAATCCTTATCCAAAAATTCACAAATGACTGAACAAGTCTTGGAAATTCTTTGGTCAAAATATGTGGGAACCATGTGATTTTAATTAACAATTATATGCTGAATCTAGTTATTCCCCAATAATCCCTGCTCAGTCCTACAGCATTTATGATGGAAGTTTTGATCTGTATTTATCTTGGAATTTTCCGTGCACTGGGGGAACGTTTTTAATGTTTTCAAGTTTTTACACAGGGAACAAACAGATCTGACTTTTCCACAAAGTAACCATGAGTCACTTTCATATGATGGCTATTTGTTCTTGTTCTTTGATAAATGTGCCAAGTTGGAGGAATGATTTAGCAGAATTTTAGCTTTTTGGAAGTATTTTAAGTGTAATGAAGTATAATATCCCAACTAGAGTTTGTATTTTGGTAGCATTGGCAAACACATGCTGTTCATTTCTCTCATATTGAGAAGTGTCTCACAATTATGACTGTCAAGCAGATACTCGTATGTCACGTGCCTTCCTTGATTTTCATTTGCAAATGCATATTTACATACCACCGGAACCACTTAAACACAGACTATGAGAATACACAGTAGAGTAGTTCCATACTGACGGTTTGAGCCCAAAGGCTTTCCTAATTATGTTTGTTTTGGCATTTGAATTACAATGGGGCTTCATTGGAGCAAAGAGCAATTTAGCTTAAGCTCAATCCAGCTCTACCTTCTTTCAGGCTTGAGCAGCCAGCTTTATCTGTACGTGTGCGTATGTCACATGCACTTAGCATCACTAACAGACCCATAGTCTTTTCCTGGGAGAGGAGCCTCAGGCTCTATGAATGAGGGTTTGTGTTGTTTTCCCATAATGCTTTGCAACAGCAGCAACAATAGGCTGGGGCTATAGAGGATTCAAAGTTTACATACGAGCTCTCATGTTAGACTTTACACCGTCAGGTCACAATAGTGCAGTATGGGATAGATAAAGACACATTAGTATCAGCTAAAATTTAAGAGGCTGTATGTGACGAAAGCAATGCGTCTGGATTGAGTGCACTAAGAAAGGATGACAATAAGTGTAATTAAGTGGTTGAAGCATGATTAATTTAGCCCTTGATTTTGGGAGATTGATGATGAAATGGTGCTAATTTCCTTAGTCCTATCAATTAATTCATTAAAAAATGCATTAAAAATAGATAATTCATTAATAGAATGACTTGACACTTCTTCTGAATTAAAGCTCTTTTTGAGAGATATATATATATATATATATATATATATATATATATATATACAGTGGTGTGAAAAAGTGTTACACTTTTTCACACCACTGTATATATATATATATATATTGGTCAGGGTAATGCAACTTTTGATATCATAATTTACACAAAAAGCATAATTAATAATAATGTAATCTTCTTTTTAGGAAGGTTTTAACAAAACTGCTTCACTGCTTTTTAATATTCGAAAAACCTTTGTTCACCAAAATCTCTGTCATGTGGTGCGACCATGTAGAAACTAAACAGGAAATTACATCATAGAGACCCTCATAAATGTGTCAAGGTCAATAAGTTCATTAAAATATAATTTAGGTTAGCTCAGGATGCAAAACGTCATTTGGTGCGACTCAAAAAAGTAATATTTATGATTTAATTCATGATATTTAAAGAAAATTAAATATGTTTCTTAGTTTTATGTTTTTGTATAACTTTTAATATTATGTAACTTTTTAAATAATTTTATTACATTTTACCTGATGATTACACCACAAGTTATTAAATGTAAACTTATTTTTCAAAACCACATAAAACCAACATGAACGTACATTTCTAAGAACTTGATATGTTTTAAACTTCATTTTTTTTTCTCCCTTATGTATTCATTATTGTGGACACTGTTATATGTCATTGACCTTTTGTTAAACTGTCATCAGACGCCGTCGACTTTACATATGGCACTTTAAAATAACAGATATTCAAAGTCACAATCTATGGCAGCACCTGTCAGGTGTCCTTTCTGAACAATTTTTGTCATTATAAATGCACAGCCGTTATGTAATCTTTATCTCTTAGGTGGCAGCAGCCATTCATCAACACTGGAAACCAGCTCTTGCATTTGATTGGTTGGTGGAGCCTTTATCAAACTGTTAACCCTTCTTCACCTACAGCTGGCCTCCCGCTTGCAGCGTTTAACCTGGGTAAAATCAAACCGTATCAGCGGGGCTTTTTCTGTAATGATGAGAGCATCAGCTATCCCTTCCACTCCAGCACAGTCACCTCCACTGTGCTCTACACAATGGGCTTCACACTTCCAATTTGTAGTGTAAGTAATCCCAGATAGCAACCACACAAGACATGCCCAGCGTCTTCCCTCACAAGTCTGTAGTGCGCTCAAGCTTGTTTTAAAGGATATTTGGCTATTCATCTTTAGAGTTTAATGGTCTGTTGCAGTCACAGGAAGTGGTCCTTCATTTTGAATGAACAAACAGACAAATAGACACCCGAAGAGCAGCTGTTTCAACATGACTCCTGACCACTGAACAGGTGCAAAATGCAATTTCAATAGAGCTTTATTAGGTGGATTGAAAGCAGCTGTTCAAGTCACTTCATCTGGGATCGCATTAGGCCGTCTAACATTGTGTCTACGCTGGAAGAGACCACTGTTGCCCGAGGTGTCTACGCTGGAAGCGCTGGAGCTGCAAACACTTCAGCAACAGTTAAATTAAATTCCTTGTATGGGTAATTTTGTAGTAGTAAAATAATATTGCACTTAAAGGGATAGTTCACCCAAAAATGAAAATTGTCATTGTTTTTCTCACCCTTATGTTGTTCCAAACCTATAAGACTTTGGCTAATTTTTAAAACCTAAATTAAGATATTTTTTATTGAAACCTAAAAGGTTTCTGTCCCTCTATTGAAAGTCCAGGTAACCAAAATTTCCAAAAAGGTCATAAAGGTAACGTAAAACAAATCCATATGAATTGAGTGGTTAAATCCAAGGCTTAGCAAATCTCAAAATGAATATTAATTTTCATTCTGTACATTTGTAATGTTATGCCTAAATTCATATGTAGCGTTGAAACTATTGATTTTATTGTTTTATTTTATTTATATTTTTATTTTCATTCAATTTTTTTTTATATGTATCTGGTCAATATTGGTTATCGGCCATAACATGAAAGTAATATGTGTGTCTCATATGTGTATCTGCCCTAATTTTTACATAAATTGTCCCATTTAATTGAAAGCTACAAGTTACATGATGGTTTTTACATATTTTCCAAGAAATTCGTTCTGCTTCTGTATAATAAATGAGGCCCAATGTTACCAGAAATAACATTAAACCCAAGCAGAAAGAATTTCTTGAGAATTTCACAAAGAAGCTGTTGTTATGCTACAATACATATACATACAGTTAAAAACAAAGGATGACAGGCCAGAAACTAAAGATCAAGCTGTCTTGATCAGAAGTCTGTGGCACGTCAAAAATAGAAAGTCTTTCAACTGAAGGTGTGACAAAAGACACTTCCATTGTAGACTACAATTTAGTCGTGGCATATTCTGATGCACTACTTGTGTTTGGTGACACAGTGTTGGGATAGAAACATTTCGGCAGCTCATTTGCATCCAAGCAATGTTTTTGCTCCTTTGTGTAGGGATACTCTGGGCATGTTGCTTTTCATTAACTTCTTAGCCAAGGATGTCCACCAAGTACAAGAAATAGCCTTAAAGTAGCTGTTTTAGATTAGCTCAGATTTGAGGTATTTTGGACTGGGAATGTATTTAAACGCACCCTCCTTCAATCTGCTCCTGCTGCTATTTTTTTTTAGAAGCAACTGCAAATTGGGCAAATTTTGTGGTTTACATCAAGAGAGGGTTCTTGGGTTTACCAACCAAACCACAGAAACTTCCTGAATATGTTTAGGAAGGGTCACCGTTTGGTCACATCTCAAGTACCCATGTTCAAGTGCCATGCTTACTTCATAGTTAACTACATAAATATTTGTATCAAAACTGTTTTAAGACAAAATTCAGCAAAAAAAAAGAAATCTAGACCTGATGGAAGACGTATCTAGGATATTGCGATCCGTCTGGAATGTGATAAGAGTGGATAGTTGATATCTTCTGGAGCACCACAGATGGCATACTTTTTCCTCTAAAACATCTCCAAAAGTTTCAGCAATCCGTTCCATGAATAACCCTGTTTGACTTCTATCTCATAACCCACAGGCTTGAGAAAACCTCAAACTTCCCATATTGCAAGATTTGGGGTTGACCTCTATGTAAGCAACCCTTAGCTTCCACTTGCCTGCCAAGCCAGTCCGGGCAGCATGCAAGTGATGATCGAAACGACCGATCCGTGCAGCGTTAACGTTACACCGATGTTCCTAATGACTCTGAAATCCCATACGTGCAGCCAGCACATCACAGACCATGACAATGCAGCTTTCACCGGAGATCGAGAGAAGATACGGTGTAATTTTAGGAGACTTCGGTTGGCGCTGGGTAACCTGCACTGATCCACATGACTGATATCAGCTCTTAGCCGATTGAGCGGTTCATGGACTTTACACGCACACAAACATCTCAGCAGACCATATTCACTGCATGTTGGGTAAATGTCTTAATCCCTACCACATGCTTTGCTTCCACGCTTGAGTAACCTTCATGTCCCCAACAGGCTTGTAAAGTTTTTGCTGGTGGTGTCCAACCACAGTTACCCTTCTTGCACCTTTTTGATGTTTATGTTGCCACTTCAATGTCTCTAACTGTGGTGGAGCAGCATTTAAGAGCTCTTTTATAACATAATGGTGTGAAAAAAACATGGAAAATGCATTTTTTTTTTTTTAGAACCTCTAAAGCCTTGTTCACACTGACCAAAGTGTTCAGCAAATGTGGCGACTAGCAATGGGAGATAGTAGAGTTTCCTGAAAAGTTGTGAGTGTTTACAGTGTTCTATACGATACAGTGATATAATAAAATGACGCAAAACCGGATGGAAAAATGTTATGGAAAACCGTATCAGCATAACATTGCTGTCAGTTGTGAACAGGGCTAGAAAGACAATGAGAAAAATGAGGATTTCGCACCCTCTGCTATATGTAAATGTTCAGACGAGATCTACTCGTTAGCGTGCTGTTGAATCATTTGAGCTTTATTTGACACGTTCCACTTCCCATGTCTACCTCGAAACCACTGGAGAATGAAAACAAAGCAATAAAGCAAAAAAAAAAGAATTTAACAAAATTCAGCCCCGGCTGCCACACCACCTACTTGCTAACCCTTTGTTCATTATGTGTTGAAGTAGAAAACTGAATGTCTGTCTAACTCGCAGCTTTTCGTACGAGCACCTCCCAGAGGAGAACAACCTTTGCATGAATTGGGGAGAATAGGGTATGAGGCACTACGTTAACCTCTGTTTTTTTTTTTTCTTCTTTCTCACTGCTTTTTTGCTAGTTGGACTCCCATTTGCAATACTCACAATACAACACAAATCATTCAAACGAGGATTTTTCTGTAACGATGACTCTATCAACTACCCATATAAAGAAGACACCATTTCCTATCAGTTATTAGGAGGAGTAATGATTCCTATCACTGTGCTTACTGTAAGTGCCCGTCTGTTACACTAGCAGCTCACACCCCTTCCTGTATCTTTCTCCTCTTCTCACTATGCCTATAATGTTTGTTGCATGCTTCTCTGGTCAGTACGTCTGTTCTCATGCCAGCTTGAGAAACAGGACTTTGAGATCTGACCACAGTTCAAAGGAGATACGGTAGATAGATGCTTAAAGGGATAGAGCGCCTATTGAAATCTTGGAATACAGAGTCATAATGACTACTTTTATGGTATTTTTTGTATCTTGCCAGTTTCTATGTGCTTTTAGTGTTGGAAAAGATGAGCATTAACATTCTTGAAAATTTCTCCACTTGTGTTCCTTAGAAAACAAGGAAGAGAAGAAGTCAGATGCTTTGAAATGACATGCAAGTTAAAATGTAAATGTTTTTTTAGGTGAACAATTCCTTAAAAATTACTCGCACACTAAAAATTGATTTGAACAGCAGTTAACTCTTGTAACAGACCTTTACAGGTTTAAGAGACAAGGCAACCAATGGAGTGGAAAGGATGTCTACTGGTCTTCTATATTTTCCCATGAAAGCCCATATACCACAGACAGTCTTGTGGTGAAACGTTTAGACTAGGGTAGGAGTCTCTCTCTGTGGTTACATCTCATAACTGTTTCTTTAAAGCAGCCTTTTTTTTATCTTGTGTGATAGCATATACAATTCAGCAATGTCCTTTCAAGGGTATTAGAAACATCAGTTTGTTTAAAATGAGCTTACCCATTATGTATAACATTTCCTATATATATATATATATATACACACACACACAGACATACACATCTATATAACCTCACAGTCACCCATGTGAGCTCAAAGCACATATACCTCTGCCTAAATGTTATTAAAACATTTGATTTAGGTTACTGCTAATGTATATTTTAAAACTGCATCATTTCAACCTGGATATTTTAGTAAAGCAAAAGTAAACCGAATTGTATCAACTTAATATACATTACCCAAGCTCTATACCTGATCATTGAGCAAGAAGGTAATAAGTATTGCAGTCACTAGACTGTAGTCATTGTAGACACCATATTATGACATTTGAGATGGAAGTACGGTGCATTCAGTATGTTGTACTGGTCTTGAGAAGGACAACAGCAACAAAAAACTCAAGTAAAACTTGGCTTGTAATACAAACATGGGTAACTGTGATGTTAAAGACATTTCAGGGAAATCCTTGTGATGGCTGCATTGTCAAGTGCTTTTACTGTTTGATCTTGTCTTCTATTCTTGTACGTGTGGACATCCTTATAAGATTCAGAAACAATCCTAAAATATTATCATCAAAACATGACTGACTGTAGCAAATGTTTTGACCATCTCATCAGAATAAAGATAAGTAATGTTTTTTTGCTTCCTCTTCCATCACAGATGATCATAGGGGAGTGCCTTTCAGTCTATCTAAACTGCGTCAAATCAAAGTCTTTCTGCAACAGTTATGTGGCCTGTATCTATAAGGCCATTGGCACCTTCTTGTTTGGTGCCGCCATGAGCCAATCACTCACTGACATTGCCAAGTATTCCATCGGCCGGCTGAGGCCACACTTCCTGGATGTGTGCAGACCGGACTGGATGCAGATCAACTGCACAGGAGGGGCTTACATTGAGGACTTCATCTGCACTGGGGATTCAACCAAGGTCAATGAGGGAAGGTAAGTAACACCAAAAACTTTAGAATACCCAAGACGTGTCACTTGTATAGTTTTGAATGGGGACAAATGTAACGCTTAATATGGCCGCTCTATCGCAGGAAGCCCCGCCTTCTGAATGAAAGAGCCAATCGCTAATCTGTAAAGTCAGCGCGTCACTGCAGCTGCCGTTAGAGAAGTCCCGCTATTTGAGCAAAATAACCAACATTTATGATACAGCTGTTGTCAGATTTCATTGGTGATTTCAAATATGAAATTTAATCGTAAGTTTGGCGAACAGTTTTGGAGAATTTGATGTTTCCCCATTCAGAGAGATAGGAGCTGCACTTGCATGCCCAAGAGGCGTTTCAAAGATGGCCGCTGAGTGACATGACTTGCCTTAAAGGGACTTTGGTAACACTCCCTTATAGGCAGGGGCGTGTCTAGAGCATTTTAAATGGGGGGGCCAGTCGGGGGCACTGGCTCAAAAGAGGGGGGGTGGGTGGTGGAGGAGGTTGTGTTTGCGGAACGATGTATGTTATAATACATCGTGTACACTCACTAAACAAAGAGTGACAGAGCAGAGCCAATTCATAAAAGAACTATTTAAAAGCACACGTCCAGTTTTGTGTGAGTGAAGGAAATCCACTTGGGAGTGGAGAGATTCGTCCTCGTGCACATGGATCGCGTAACATTATGCGCTCTCGACATTGTCATTAAGATCACACTATAGAAACCGCCTAAAATTAAGTATAAAGAAGAGAAGAAAGCGGCCTTAGGCAGCTGCCTACACATGCCAGGATCCGCCACTGCCAGATGCAGTTAGAAATTTACTAAAAACAAGCCTATCGCAAGACATCTGGTAGGGGGGGCACCTGGGGTGGCCAGCCAAATTTCGGGGGGGGGGCAGCCGGTGCCACCCCTGGCCACCACGTAGACACGCCCCTGGTGACAAGGTGCTCCATCATGCTGGAAAATGCACGGATCATCACCAAATTGCTCATGGATCGTTGGAAGAAGTCGCTCTTGCAGGACGGGGGCCGGTGCCACCCCTGGCCACCACGTAGACACGCCCCTGCTTATAGGTCGCTAATAGTTACTCGTTACCTTACAGCGGTAGTTCACACAAAAATGAAAATTCTGTCATTAATTACTCACCCTCATGTCGTTCTAAACCTGTAAGACCTTCGTTCATCTTCGTAACACAAATTAAGATATTTTTGATGAAATCCGGAAGCTTTACCACGTTCAAGTCCCAGAAACACTGTAAGATCATCGTTAAAATAGTCCAATGGTTCAACAGTAATTTTATGAATCTACAAGAGAAGAAATCGATGAATAAAGCCGTTTTTGTATTCTTTGCGCACAAAAAGTATTCTCATAGCTTCATAAAATTACTGTTGAACCACTGTCGTCACATGGACTATTTTAATGATGTCCTTACTACCTCTCTGGACCTTGAATGTGGCAGTTGCGTTGCTGTCTATGCAGGGTCAGAAAGCTCTCAGATTTCATCAAAAATATCTTAATTTGTGTTCTGAAGATGAACAAAGGTCTTGCGCATTTGGAGCATGAGGGTGAGTAATTAATGACAGAATTTTCATTTTTGAGTGAACTATCCCTTTAACGTGGGGTGCTCCTGGGGATCACTTCCAAAACACCTGCCTGGAAGTTTCTAGTCATCCTGAAGACCTTGTTTAGTTGGTTCAGGTGTGTTTAGGAAATAAACTCTACAGGAAGGTTGCAGGATCCAATTTTACACCTGAAGAACCAACTGTCCTGCAGAGTTTAGCTCTAGCCCTAAATCAAGGTCTTCAGGGTCACTCAAAACTTCTAGGTAGGTGTGGCGTCAAACGTTGCAGGTGCTCAAGGAGCAGAATTGGACACCCCTGCACTAATGGGTGTCCTGCTCTGGATGGAAGAGTTGCAAGAAAGGTTTTTTCCTTGGGGTGGAATTAGGAATCCCTCAAATTTGTTCTTTGATGTGGTTCCATCCCGGAAACTTCCCAGCCACTCTAGCCTGCATCTGCATTCCTTATTAGACAAGCTTGTCCCTCAAAATAACTTTTCCTCTGAACCTTTTCAGATAGATGGGTCTGACAAGGAATTAGATGTAGTTCTAAGGATTTACACGAAGGTGTCCAATTAGCAGAACCAGTTGTGCCATGAGTACTTTATATCTGGCATTGCACTGAGAAAAAACTCCCTCATTAACATTGAAATGAAGGGTGTTTCCAGTGTCTTTACCATGAACTCTTTTTGGGGTCAGTTGTCCACATTGTTGGCCACCCAAGCTCTTGGTGGAATATGTGGTTCACACACTGTAGTGGTCTCTAATCCTGCGGTTAGCCGTTTCAGAGCAAGCAAGCTTTCTGTTTCGGTTCTTGGGCCAGACTCAAGGCCAGCAGTATCCCAGGCCCTCTCAGAATGCTCTCATTTAACATAGGTGTGGTTCCCATCTCTCTCTCTCTCTCTCTCAGAAGAGCACCTCTTTTGTGGTGGTCCAGTGTTTGCCTAGGAGACGATGCCATTTATAGAGCAAATAAAGAGCAGTAGAGGGTCTGAGCCCAGAATAACCCAATCACCTTTCACACAAGAGTGTTCTCCTCAGGAAAATTGAGTCTTCTTGGTAGGCAAGCAAGTGTATTTGCATGTTAAAAGGGTGAGAGTTATCCAGGTCTAGGTATAAATGATTAAAAAATCTGAAGCAGGTCTTCAGTTCTTTGAGTCAGTGTTGCCCTTTCGTTCAGTTTTATCCTCAGGCACTCTCAGAATATGCAGTCTGCAATGCGTTATCCACCTCGCAGATAATTCGCTTTAGCTCTGCTTCGTCTCTCGTCTCATGACCGGGTCTGTAATTCAATCAGCAAACAAGAACATGAAGATCTGGCCTCATTATAACTTGCACACTGCCCAGATCTTGTTAAACTCTGCTTTTAAGTAGATCGATATGAAAGGAGCATGTTCGCAGTGGTTGAGTTTATGGCAGTTGTGCAGCTTGAATGATTAAAGTTTTATTTGGCATCAGTCACTAGGCGGATGCTCCTAGTCGACAAGTGGCCTAAGCTTAAGTAAACAGGAACACACAAAAGCCTGCCGGATAGCCAGACCACCCTCCCTCTCTGACGCTTTCCGCGCTTCCCCTGCCCCGACCCCCGCCGGTCAGATCGTGTCTCCCCCGAGCATGCCATTATCACCCGGAAAAGGGTGTGTATGTGCTTTTTAAAGAGAGTGTTTAACGGGAGCAAATGGGACAATGAAAATCTTCGCCTAGCGAGTGGTTCAGTGTTAGGATTCCATCCCACCAATTTGTCAAAGCAATTCTTAGTTTGTGTTTACAGATTAGCAAAACAAATGTCAGCTTTAACTAAAGGCTTCATAGTGTTGCATAAGCACATGTCTACATGTAGTAGGTAATTAAACAGCCCTTCTGTGCTGCCCACATTGATTCTTCGATTGTTTTTGTTGCAGACTCTCTTTTTACTCGGGACACTCCTCATTCTCCATGTACTGTATGCTGTTCTTGGCGGTAAGTGTCTTTTATTTATGTTTTAACCCATTTGTTAAGAGGGTAGTCCACCAGAAATATAGTATTGTCATCATTTTACTTACCCTCATGTGATTCCAAACCTGTATGACTTGCTTTCCTCTGTGGCACATAAAAGAAGACTAACACTTTAGTATAGGGACCAATTCTCACTATTAACTAGTTGCTTATTAGCATGCCTATTATTAACATATTGGCTGTTTATTAATATTTATAAAGCACATATTCTGCATGACCATATTCTATATCCCTAATCCTACCCAATACATAAACTTAACAACTATCTTACTATTATTAAGCAGCAAATTAGGAGGTTGAGACAAAAGTCGTAGTTAATGGTTTGTTAATAGCGAGAACTGGACCTTAAAATAAAGTGTGACCAAGAAGACCAATGCTGGTTTGGACCATGTTGACTTTTATGAACAAACAGTTGATGTTTTGAAGAATTGATTCTTCGGTTATACAGTAGGGAAAAAAAGTTCCAAGTTTTGGAAGGACATGAGGGTGAATAAATAACATTTTTTCTTTTTAGGCAAACTATCCTTTTCATTCAAAGTTTGTTCCTAAGTGTATAACGGTATTTTCACACTGAATGAAGTACTGATGTTCTTAGTTAATCGGGTAATAATTTAACTACAATCAGCATTACATAACCCAATAACAAACCAGACCCAAACTGGTCCATTAAATACCATCATTGTTACTGAGTGACTAGGAAATGGGATAAATGTTTGTAGATTTATACGTTTTACTTCATTGATTTTTCCATTGGAAAATACCCATTATCTGTCAGGCTGAGGTATATTGATTCAGCGGAGTAATCTTAAGGAGTTCATTCTGGTGAACTTCTCCATTACAGCTTTGTTAGCAAACACAACCTACCATAATCTTATCATGAGAGTACAAGCTTTAAGGACATGCGGCTAAAGTTCACAGCACATTTGAACCCTGAAATAAACACATCAGACCTGGGGTCAATGTTCAGTGAAACTCAAAGACAACATTGAATTATTTTTTTAAACTGCTTCCCTATCAAAAGTATTTGACTCTTAATCCTGAAATAGACTGTTTAAAATCAAATAAGATTACAAGCATTAACCAGAAATATAACCTAGCAATGATTCTTGAGTTTGTGTGCACTTTTTGGAGGGGGTATTTCTAGGGACTCCCAATGATTTCTGGGAATCTTTGCCCAGCGTGGGGTTGAGCGTTAGGATTTCTTCCCATCAGCTTGTCAAAGTAATTCTTTGTTTGTGTTTACAGAGTTTCCAAACAAATGTCAGCTTTGATTTTAGGGTTTCATACTGTTGCACAAGCACACGTCTACATGTAGTGGAAGTTAAACAGACCTTGTTTTGCCCACTTGTTGGAAACTATCGTTCTACTCTGATCACTCCTTCAAACCTTTAAATGAGTAATGATTTTGACAACAAGACCTGTAAGGTGATAGCATAATGATTAATATTTAAGCATAATTCACATTTCTCAGAGGCCCAGTGTAGTGTCGACTAAATTAACTTCGGTTGGTTCCTGTGAAAGGAAGTCTGTACAAGTCTGGTACATTCCCTCGGGCAGGAGATAACATGAAAAAAAAGCCACGTCGTAAACCGAGGAAGAATTAGGTAGCATGGGATCTGTAGTAACACGCAAACACAACATGACCTTGTGTTAGTGAGGTCGTCACGTGAGGATCAGCGAAGTCGCATGCTGTACGAGTTAAACCTCTCTCACAAACAATGAGTTTGAACAGTCTTTTCCTTTCTCATAGCTTTATCTTCAAGCAAGAATGCAAGCCGAATGGGCACGGCTCCTTCGCCCCACGCTCCAGTTCTTCCTGATCGCCGCCTCCGTCTATACGGGACTGTCCCGTGTCTCAGACTACAAACACCACTGGAGTGATGTACTCGCAGGACTCATACAAGGAGCCATCGTGGCTTTACTAGTGGTGAGTGACACGATCAACAACACACAGATGATTTCTGCTTGCAGGAAGTCAGTGTGAATTCTGCTAATTTAAAGGAAGTTCACCCAAAAATAAAAGTCGCTTTTCCACCGAAATTACCTGGAACAATGTCCCAGGAACTTGTTTCCCCCAGACCTGTTGCTGTCTGCTTTTTCATCGCGGTCTAAAGTACCGTGAAGATTAGGCAAATAGTCTGGTGACGTAGGACTGTGCTCGACTGCTCCTCCCAGTCCAGGGCCGTTTCTCAATACCAAGTATGCAAATTTCGGACTTGCGTCCTCGGTAGTTCGAACTTCGCGAGTTCGACTCGGGAGTGTGAACTCCCGTGGACGGGACGACGCAAGTCGCGAACAACAGCGTACTTGATAACGTCAGTAAGCTCGCCTTGCCTACTGCAATTTTCCTCACTGTATTTACAATAAGACGAAATATATCAAACACCACTGCCTCTTTTCGTTTTCATTTAAACATATTAATAGCCGCAGAAATGTAGTTCAGGGAACGTACATACATTACAATGAAACTAAATATTATGAATATTATGATCGCGTGGACCTCACGTCTCCGAAACGGTCAAAGCACATTTTCAAATAGGCGCTGTCTTTATAAATAAACCGCAGATTTGAGTTTTAAACAACTACCATCTCGCCTGAAATACTCTTAAAACTATTCATGACACAATAACAGTAATATTTAGAAAATTATGCGAATATATGGTGGTTGAAATACAATGCTGCGTGAACTCAACCAATCAGCGTGTTCAGCGCCCAAGTCCCGCCCCCAAAAGTTCCGGACCTTTAAAAAAGGTACTACCTCTCGAGCAGAGGCAAATTTTTACCCGGAACTCTATTTAGAATCTGGTTCCTGCGGTGGAAACACACCGAGTACCGGCTGTATTTACAATAAGACGTAATATATCAAACACCACTGCCTCTTTTCGTTTTCATTTAAACATATTAATAGCCGCAGAAATGTAGTTCAGGGAACGTACATACATTACAATGAAACTAAATATTATGAATATTATGATCGCGTGGACCTCACGTCTCCGAAACGGTCAAAGCACATTTTCAAATAGGCGCTGTCTTTATAAATAAACCGCAGATTTGAGTTTTAAACAACTACCATCTCGCCTGAAATACTCTTAAAACTATTCATGACACAATAACAGTAATATTTAGAAAATTATGCGAATATATGGTGGTTGAAATACAATGCTGCGTGAACTCAACCAATCAGCATGTTCAGCGCCCAAGTCCCGCCCCCAAAAGTTCCGGACCTTTAAAAATGCAGTGCTGCGTGAACTCAACCAATCAGCATGTTCAGCGCCCAAGTCCCGCCCCCAAAAGTTCCGGACCTTTAAAAAAGGTACTACCTCTCGAGTAGAGACTTTCTGAGGGGCAAATTTTTACCCGGAACTCTATTTAGAATCTGGTTCCTGCGGTGGAAACACACCGAGTACCGGCCCAGAGTCCCTAGTTCCTGGGGAATGTTCCTGCGGTGCAAACAGGCTTTACTTGTCATTACTTCCTTGTGTCACTCCAAACCCATATGACTGTCTGATGTTTATGGAATAATAGAATCAGTATTTTAGTATTTTTATTTTAAATACTATATAGTGTTCATCAGGGTTATTATCTTTCAAATTAAAATCATATTTTTTAAGTTATTTCAGTTAATGTTTTCCCATTTTCTTTAAGATTAACTTGAAGTACTAAAAAACAAAAATTGAAATGAAAAGTAACAAGAACTATCTATATAAATATAGACAGGCATTTAAACACACAAACAATTTAATTATATAATTGTAAGACAAAAACTAAAATATAAAAATGGAAACTAATTTAAAACAGTTTTACTAATAGTATATCAATAATACTAAAATAATACTAGTATTCATTAATAGTTTATATTAGCTTACAATTTATTAAATTTTTATGTGTTTTTATTAATATTTCCATTTTTTATTTCAGTTTCAGTCATTGGAATTTCAACGCCTCGCCTGAAATACTCTTAAAACTATTCATGACACAATAACAGTAATATTTAGAAAATTATGCGAATATATGGTGGTTGAAATACAATGCTGCGTGAACTCAACCAATCAGCGTGTTCAGCGCCCAAGTCCCGCCCCCGAAAGTTCCGGACCTTTAAAAAAGGTACTACCTCTCGAGCAGAGGCAAATTTTTACCCGGAACTCTATTTAGAATCTGGTTCCTGCGGTGGAAACACACCGAGTACCTAGTTCCTGGGGAATGTTCCTGCGGTGCAAACAGGCTTTACTTGTCATTACTTCCTTGTGTCACTCCAAACCCATATGACTGTCTGATGTTTATGGAATAATAGAATCAGTATTTTAGTATTTTTATTTTAAATACTATATAGTGTTCATCAGGGTTATTATCTTTCAAATTAAAATCATATTTTTTAAGTTATTTCAGTTAATGTTTTCCCATTTTCTTTAAGATTAACTTGAAGTACTAAAAAACAAAAATTGAAATGAAAAGTAACAAGAACTATCTATATAAATATAGACAGGCATTTAAACACACAAACAATTTAATTATATAATTGTAAGACAAAAACTAAAATATAAAAATGGAAACTAATTTAAAACAGTTTTACTAATAGTATATCAATAATACTAAAATAATACTAGTATTCATTAATAGTTTATATTAGCTTACAATTTATTAAATTTTTATGTGTTTTTATTAATATTTCCATTTTTTATTTCAGTTTCAGTCATTGGAATTTCAACGCAAGTTTAAAAAAAAACCTTAAATTTAATTTATATTTTAGCTTTATTTAAATTAAAAAATTTTAATAGTTTTAGTTAACATCACAATAGAATTGAACAATGTCTAGAGTGCTTAAATTTAGAAATAGACAGGCATTTAAACACACAAACAATTTAATTATATAATTGTAAGACAAAAACTAAAATATAAAAATGGAAACTAATTTAAAACAGTTTTACTAATAGTATATCAATAATACTAAAATAATACTAGTATTCATTAATAGTTTATATTAGCTTACAATTTATTAAATTTTTATGTGTTTTTATTAATATTTCCATTTTTTATTTCAGTTTCAGTCATTGGAATTTCAACGCAAGTTTAAAAAAAAACCTTAAATTTAATTTATATTTTAGCTTTATTTAAATTAAAAAATTTTAATAGTTTTAGTTAACATCACAATAGAATTGAACAATGTCTAGAGTGCTTAAATTTAGAACGAAAAATAATTGCATCAGTTTGAAATTCTTCAGCTAAACTCTCAAAAAAATGTATTTAAACTCAAAACAAGATCAAAATATTTAAAAAATCGGCAACTTAAATTTCTGGATTTTTTTGTCAGCTCCAGTCCCTTTTAATACACATTTAATTGTGTTCCACAGAAGAAATAAGTAGGGGTTTGAGTGACTTATATTTTCTGTTGTACAGTATAAGCACTAAACACTGACATTTCAGACTCTGCCACTGTGACTGTAAACCTCAATCATATCACCTCCTCTCACGCCCTACAGGTTTTCTGTGTGTCGGATTTCTTCAAAAAGAAAGTCGAACCACAGAAGGAGGCCGAGATCCCACACACCACCTTACAAGAGACACCTACGAATGGAAATCATTATGAAAACCCAAACTAAGCTATGATGAGTCTCTGTGGATGGGAAGGGGTTTCAGCGTGCACCCACTATGAGGGCAGACCACTAGGGTGGAAACCTGTGAATGTAACCTTGCTTTCTATGTTCTCCAGACGGCCCTTTCTGGGGACTTCTCTATGGACTCTGTCCCACGTTGCCTTGGCTGGACTGGACTGCTTCTGCTGCTACCACAGCTTCCTCTGTATCTCCAAAAACTAATATGTGTACCTCTATTAAGCCACAAGAGAAAAAACTTTTTTTATCTGTATGAAAACAAGAATCACTATACAGTCTTTTTTTTTTTTAATTAAAATTGTTAAAATTATGTACAATATGTTGCGCTTTTATTATGGAAACAAAAACCCATTATGCTCGTTGACAAACACAAATAAACCGATTATGTTTCATGTAAATTCTGTCCTTTTTGATGCAAAATGAAAAAAAAAAAAAAGTAGAAAAAAAAAGTACAAAAACCCAAAACAATAGCAAACACAAAAAAAAATAACCCTCAGGATTCACAGGTAAAGACTGGCAGCAAACACGATATCCCTCTTAATCTTCGTTATACCTGTGAAAAACAAGAAAATGTGTTTGAGTTTCAAAACAAAACCCAGTCACCCTCAAAACACTGACAGAAGTAGAAAAAAAAAAATGGGAAAAGCAGTGTCAAAGTGTGGTTTAAAACAAAGCTGTGTTCCAAAATCTAGCGTGCTGCCTAGCTAGACAGCATTTTAAGGCATCATAGACATGCTACACCAACACAAAGGCTGTTCCATAAGTTATGATATCTTATTTAGGCCTATGTGAAATCAGCTTATTCCCTCAATCACTGTTCCCTGTATCACTCCAATAATAGTCTGCTGAATGAAAACGAGCGCGCAAAGTCAGACTCTGACACAGTGCAGAGTTATTCTGTAGTGGCTAGCCATTTTCCATGTACATCGATTGCTGTGCATTATGAGATTGAATGAGTGCACTTGATAATGTCCATTATGGTTTCAGACACAAGTGACTAAAATATATAGGGGTTATTTCAGACACTAACAGTGTTGCACATATCTTTTACAAACAATACCATAATGCACCGCAACAAAGTCAACGGTAGATGACTACAAATGTACTTTTCATTCTACACTGGACAGTATTGATAAACAATACTGCAATTTAATTAAAATGGACTATATATACATACATATATATATATTTCTTTTTTATTTTTGCAACATGTTAGCTTCCATCTCTATTAGAATCGATTTTGACGTATGCATTTGTTTGCTAATCAATTATTGCGTAATTAGCTTAGCAATACGTGAACATCTAACTCTATTGGAATAATTTGATCCATGTATTAGTTAGCTAATCTAATATTGTATAATTAGCAACATGCTAACATCCAACTGTATTAGATTAAATTTCCTATCCATTTGTTAGTAGTGCGTTCAAATGATTAATCGCGATTAATCGCATCCAAAATAAAAGTTTTTGTTTACGTAATGTGTGTATACAGTGTATATTTATTATTTATATATAAATACACACATATACAGTATATATTTTGAAAATATTTACATTTATTTATATTCATGTAAATATATATATATACATATATATATATTTCTTTTTTACTTTTGCAACATGTTAGCTTCCATCTCTATTAGAATCGATTTTGACGTATGCATTTGTTTGCTAATCAATTATTGCGTAATTAGCTTAGCAATACGTGAACATCTAACTCTATTGGAATAATTTGATCCATGTATTAGTTAGCTAATCTAATATTGTATAATTAGCAACATGCTAACATCCAACTGTATTAGATTAAATTTCCTATCCATTTGTTAGTAGTGCGTTCAAATGATTAATCGCGATTAATCGCATCCAAAATAAAAGTTTTTGTTTACGTAATGTGTGTATACAGTGTATATTTATTATTTATATATAAATACACACATATACAGTATATATTTTGAAAATATTTAAATTTATTTATATTCATGTAATTTATTATATATAAATATATTTAATATATAAACATAACATTAAATATAACTCTTAACTCTTAAATATATACGTGTATGTGTTTGTATTTATATATACATAATAAATATACACAGTACACACACATACATATTACATAAACAAAAACTTTTATTTTGGATGCGATTAATCGTTTGGCAGCACTATTTGTTAGCTGACCAAATACTGCGTAATTAGCTTAACAACATGCTAACATCCATCTCTTGGAATTTTGACCCAAGTATTTGTTAGTTAACCAAATACTATACAAGTAGCTTAACACAGGGTTTCTGCAGGATTTTTAAGCTCAAATTTAAGACTTTAAGACCTTTTTTAAGACCTGCACAAATAAAATTAATACCATATGAGCGGGGTAGGGCAATGTCTATAGTACCAAATTAAACAGTAAAATTACTGTAAAAAGCATAATTTACATTTTTAATTAATTAACAAGTTTTAACAAAAACAAAGTATTATAAAATTATAAACTTTACATTTCAGCCTGTAAACCATTGGTAGGAAAATGGATGAGTCAAAAGTATTATATTAATTTCAACAATTATTATCAATAAATTATTATATCAATTAAATAACAAATTAGGGGTGTGCGATACTGACAAAAAATGATATCTCGATAATTTTCTGGGATTTTATTGATAACGATAATTAGACGATATTTTGCTGAGTGTGTTATTGTGC